TCCTTTTTTTTTTTTTTTTTTTTTTAGTATATCTTTATTGATTTCAGAGGAGGGAAGAGGGAGAGAGATAGAAACATCAATGATGAGAGAGTCGTCAATGATCAGCTGCCTCCTGCACGCCCCGACGGGATCGAGCCCACAACCCGGGCATGTGCCCTGACCAGGAATCAAACCGCGATCTCCTGGATCCTAGGTTGATGCTCAACCACTGAGCCACGCCCAGCTGGGCAATCCCCTACTTTTTGAAAGTTCGCATGTGCTACTTTGCTTTCAGGAAAGACCTGCATTAGTCGTTTTTGCTAACTGAAAGAAATCTGAAGAGGACCTCTGCTTTTATGAAAAAAAGTGAAAAGCAAAAACAGCGCTCAGCATTTATTTTGCAGCGAGTCGTTACACACCCCAAGCTGTGAGAGTGGCCCCGCCAAGCTCCTTCCCCAGGAAGCTCGCTCAGCATCTCAGCATCGAGCCCCAGAGCTGCGAACTGTCTGTAAGCATCTGTGCTTTTTCTCCATTTATTTTGTGCATTGTTACCAAGATGTGTCCTAATGAAATTGCTTCTTCCCTTTATACCATTTCAGCTTACCTAAGGTTTCACAGGAATGCTCTAATTCTCGATAGCGGGGAACCTGTATTTTCAAACTTCTAAATCATCAGCGAATACCCCTGGGTTAGCAGGCAGCTGAGTGAGCAAGAAGCTCCTCGCCCACCAGTGGCAGACTCTGGCATTGGGACTGTCCTGGGGATTCAGAGGGCAGAGCCCTGACTGCACAGACCGTGAGAGCAAGGCATATAGATATCATATCCTCCAGTGCTGTTTCCTGTAAACCAACTAGCCCCTCACGCACATGTTCCATATTTTCTATTAAAACCCATTTAAAGACTGAAACTCTAGAACAGCACAGTCCCACAGAATTGTCTGTAATACTAGAAATGTCCTGTATCTGTGCTGTTCATATTGAAGGCACTCAAGGTATGTGGCTAATGAACATTTGAAAAGTGGCTAGTGTGCAGGGAACTGAATTTTTAAAATTACTTTATCCTAATTAATCAAAATGGGAATAGCCACATGTTGCTGCCACATTGGCCAATGGAATTTTATCTTTGTTTAACCCAATTTACTCTTAGCAAAGAGCCAATTCCAATATGAGACCTTTATTTTTAAAGTTTAAGTCAAAACTTTATAATCAAAAGCAATGATAAACAATGATAAACTTAAAGCACTTATGTTTTGCTCATGTAATAATCTTTCACTGAACTCCCCGCTCGGCCTATGGAGTGCAGTCATCAAAAGAGTCTCACTGGTTACAGTTATTACAGTGTATGGAAAGATTTAACAACATTAACAATTAAACTCCAATTAGCTATTATCATCTTACGTGCAGTATTTTTGCGCCTAGAACTGTATTTTATAAACCTATTTCCCTTCATTAATCTCATAACAATACCATGAGATTCAGTCTTTTTTTTTAGACTAAGAATGTGAGACCCAGAAAAGATTAGTAAGGACATACCCAGTCATACAACCATTCAGTGATCATTTCAGGGTATAGGTAACCAACTGTCCTGCTCCACAGTCTATTTCCTTTCCACTAGACCTCACTGTAGCATGAACAATCCTTCTTTACTAAAGTTTCACAAAGAATGGAGTGGGGTTTTCCAAGTAGAGGAGGGAACAGAGAATACGTAAATTGTTAAGAATGGGCAATGGGGGACACCTGCGAGGCTCCCCGTGACTTTACACAGAAGGGCTGCCTGGGACGAGGGAAGGAGGCCATGGGTAAAGGTCACAGATGGCATGCCAAAAACTGTAAGTGGTCCGGAACATAACCTTCCAGCACACAGAGACACAATCTACAGTGAGATTTTATCAAGTAAACCATGTTCCTAGCCCATGCATTCCCAACATGTTTTCTGAATGTGCATTAGGCAAAATATAATTTTTTCTAATTGGAGAACTGAGAGGGAGTGAAGGAGGAAAGTTGTTTTAAAATTTCTGCTAAATCTAAAGAAAAATAAAATTACTACTAAAAATCATCTTTGCTATTGGAAGTCAGGATAGCGGTTATCCTGGGGTGGGGGGTAAGGGGGGTCCTGGAAAGAAACAAGGGCAGGGGTCACATTCTGTCTGCTGGTTACATGGGTGTGTTCACTTTGTGACAGTTCAGCATTATGTGCATTTCTGTGTACATTTACTGTACTGGAATAAAAAGAGAAGTAAAACTACTAAATAAGTTCAGCCTATTAAAAATAAATGATCACTTAGACCAAAGGTGGGCTGGAAATAAAATTAAATGAAGCCATTACGCACCATCACCAAGACATACCAAGCACCTTTCTCATCTCAGGCCATTGCTTACATTGGTGGAACAAAGTTCCATTTTCTTTTCCACTGGATCCACAACAGAATGTTCTTTGATGTATGTCAAAGTCCTACTGGTTCCCAAAATCTAAAAAACAAAGCAAAGCTAGCACAATGTGTTACAATTTCATTTTGTAGCATCAAACACAAAATACCATTTCATTTACTAATCCGCTTATCTACATGGCTGGGGGTGCAGCGATGAAGGCCCCCGTGCAGCAACTTTAGGTTTCTGTTCTAGCAGGTGGGACAGACACTGAACAAATGAATGACTTCAAGTAGAGCTGAGTGTATGACAGTAATAAATGCTTTGCAAAAAAGAAAACGGGGTGGGGCTAGGGGCAGGAGTGCAGAGAAGGCCCCTCTGCCAGTGGCAGGGCCAGGGAGGGTGCTATGTAGAGCTCTGGGGTTGGCAGGAGGGTCAACCACGTGAGGAGGCGGAGGGCAGGCAGCCGTCTGTGAGCCAAGGAGAGGCTGGAGCAGACCCATCCCTCACGGTCCTGGTCCTCAGAGGAAACCACCCTGCCAGCATCTTGCTCTCTACTTCCACCCTCCAAAATGGAGAGAAAACAAATGTCTGTGGTTTAAGTCCCCCAATCTGTGGTGTTTTATTACGGCAGCCTGAGCAACAGACGCAACACTGTGGAGCGATGCGCGGGGGGCTTTGGGGAGCGGAGCCAGGCCACATGTCAGATGTGTCAGGACCCACGGAGATGGATAGTTTAATGAAGTTTACAGAAGACTAAGGGAAGGTTGTAATTTCCTGCAGATGGGTGCCAGCCAGGCAAAGTGGGTGTAGCCAGGGTGATGCGGGTGTAGTGGGAGCAAAGCAGACGCCAGCTGGGTGGTGCGGGTGTTGCGGGGCAGGGCGGGTTCCAGCAGGGGTAAGCAGCTGTGGGCTCACCGCTCTCACGAGGCCGGGCAGCCCCCACTCAGTGCTGAGGAGGCGGTGGCTGTGAAGTCGTCCACAGCCGTCCACACTGCGCTCCAGCACATCGACTCCCACGACACAGGGGTTCATCGGATTTGGGTACTTCCTCATAGCAGCCTTGATGACCGTGGCCCATGGGTGACTGGAGGGAAAATAGAATCACCCAGCATAAGCAAGCAATCCCTACAATTTGTAACGTGTGCCAGAGTGGCTGTGGGATCCAGAGATGCTGTGTGCCAGAGTGAAATGAAAAAAGGTTTTTGTTTTGATTTTAATTAAAGGTATATTCAAACAAATATACATGAGGGGTCCGGCTCCAGACCCAAATCCAGGATCCTGCGATCCTTCTGAGCTGACCACAGGCAATCAGAGGCTTTGCTAGGTCTTGCGGGGGACCTGGGGCACAATCTAGAACTCAGGCTCCTGGCAGCTGCTCATGGGGTCTGCATTCCCAGTCCAGGAGCCTCGCAGAGGCTTCACCACTGGGGGCCCTTGGCTGGAGCACTTTCCTTCCCTCTGGCTCAGCACTTCCCCTGTCCCCGCATTTCCTCCTCCCTCTTCAGTAAACCCTAAAAGGAATTAGAGTTAAGCATGAAGAACACAAGGGGCACTTCTGCTGTGCACGGAGGTGTAAGGAGACCGGGGAGCGCTGGGCAGCTGCGGGTGGTGGGCCCAGCTGGCTGCTGCTTTCCACACCCGTGACTTCTACTTGAAACAATGCAGGGACAAACTGGTTCTTCAGTCTGGGGTATCTGGCAGACATTATCTCGAAAACTAATGAAATGAGCCTATCATTTCAAGGAAAACAACCGATGGCATTTGTTGCCAAAGATAAAATCTGAGTTTCAAGTGAAAATTGAAATTTTCAAAAGCTTGTCTCTGCTGCCATGACCTGATGACTGCCCCATACTGTAAAAGTGGAAACCCATATTCCAAATGACCAGTGCAAGATGCCACAAAACCATATGCGGGTGACAGACTCATTTGAAACAGCACAGGCCAATTACTCTGGTCACTATGGTTTCAGATTTTACACTTGTTTTGTTGTAGTAGCAAATAAATAGCTGCAATTACTTTAAGACTGTTAAGATACTCCTACCTTTCCCAACAGGGTTTTATTCAAAACTTCACCCAAAACAACAGACTGTAAAACACTGAATACAGAAGCAGATATGAGTATCGAGCCATCTTCTATTAAGCCAGACGCTATAGGAATTAGCAATGAAAAAAAAAGACAAACAAGAAACCCAAAAACAGTATCACTCTTACTAATTTGGGGGAATTTTAGGAAATAAAGGGTTTTTAAAAAGTAAATGTTACTTTTGTTAACATAATGGGTTTATTATTCATTTTAAAATTAATTAATAAGTATTATTTACTTTGCTTTAATTTCTAATATGGTAAATATGGGTAGCTATAATTCACATAAACAAAAACTGTTTGGGGTCCCCAATATGTTCTAAGAGTGTAAAGAAATCCTGAGGCTGAAGAGTTTGAGAACTGCTGGCCTAAGTGGGTCCTTAATTAAGTGGACAAGAAGTATGTACACAGGTGGTCACTGCAGTATGATGTGTAATAAGGGGGGAAACTTGATGTCCTTTCAGTAAGAGAAAGGATAAGTTGCAACATATTCATACAATAGAATATTATATAGCTATGATACGTATGTGTGTGTGTGTGTATATGTATATATACATACGCAACACACACAGGTCTTGAAATCATACTGTTGAGAGGAAAGGGAAACTGTCAAAAAATCTGTACCAGATGATGCCACTGATTTCTATTTTAAAACAATAAACACATGCACACAAAAATGTAGTCAAATGGAATATACACCTTCAGAGGGATGCCCACCAAATTCATAATCGTGTCTGCCTGTGGGGGGAGAGGGGGTTCCGCACTGAGGGGCAGGGGTGCTTCAACTCTTATCTGTAATGTTCAATTTCTCTTATTTAAAAAAAGGGGGGAGAGGGGCATTCTGTTCCCTGCACCTGGCTAGAAACTAAGTTTGCTTTAGGGCATTTCCTTCTCCCTCTTTACCCTCCCTCTCAGCAAACCCTACTGTCCCTGAGACGGTTATTACCAACTTCAGACCTTTCCGGGTAGTTGTTGAAATTCAGAGTATATGGCCTTGAATCTCTGCCAGAAATCCACTTGTGTTGGCTCTGTTCCTGAAGATTTCATAGGTCTACCTGCAACCTAAGCCAATGCTGGATGAAATTGATAAGCCTGTTAACTTTTAAATGCCCCTTTCTACATTTTTATATTTCAGTCGTATATTTTTCATTACTATTTAGACAATCTTAACCCTGTCTAGATAACACACACTAATTCAGATGGCTTTCTCAAAGGGTTCTCCATTTCTGTAAGCGTGTTTAAATTGCTCTGCTGTGCCTGATCTCCAGTCCCTGGGGTTTCTTTGGGGTGTGGACAAAGAAATTTTGATATGATCAAAAGTTTTTGTGCCTAATTCTTTCTTTCCAGAGCACATTTAGTAATTTCCGATCAAATATTCATCTGACAGTACAACAAATATATAAAAGAAACAAATACAGAAAGAAAAGACCTATAACCCTCAAAGAAAAAAAAAAATCAGTGATTGTAACAGACCAAGCAAAGGGAGACCGCCACAATAAGCCCAGCCAGAAAGCTGGGCTTCCCATTTTGTGCTGGGCACCGCACACTACTACTCATTTGCAACTGTTGGCCACAGGGGCCTGCCCCACATTGTCCTTGGCCAGCTGCATTCCACGTTTGTCAATTTTCATTATAGCCCTTTGCTTTTAACTTCCAAAATCAATGGCAGGGGATCAGTGCCAAGTCCACAGCAGCTTGGCGGGTAGCCACGCTCTATTTGGAATGGCATCTGATCTTGGTGAGATCCTTCAGCCCCTCACTGAGCACCTACTATGTGCCAGGCACTGTCAGGGTGTCAGGGATACAAAATGAAGTACTGATACAAGATACCACACGAACAAACCTCAAAAAAATTGTGCTAAGTGAGAGAAGGCAGACACAAAGGACCACATGCTGTATGATTACATTTATATGTAATGTCCAGAAAAGGAAAATCTATAGAAACAGAAAGCAGACTAGCAGAGGCCAGGGGCTCAAAATGGTAGTGAAGAGTGACTGCAAATGGGCATGAGGGGTCTTTGCAGGGTGATGGAAATGTTCTAAAACTGGTCTGTGGTGGTGGTTGTACAACTCTAAATTTACTAAAAGTTGTTATTGTACACTTTTAATCAATGAATTTTATCAATAGTGACTTTTCAGTTGACTATTCACTTCTGCTTGTCAACCAACATTTCATGAAATTCTAGGGCAGTCCTTGTCAACTATCCCATGACAAAACAGCCCCACTGCCCAGGCATCTACACTGCAGTGTGCAGTGACTTAACTTCTCCCCTCTGCATCTAGATGGTGCCAGTTATGTCCCACCCTTGGGAGAACTGAGAAGAATTTCTGCATCATTCTCACTGGGGCTTTCACTGGGTCTCTCAAGAAACCCCAGTTGAGAAAAGCTGCAGGCTACACAAAAATCAGCACTAGCCCACCTGTGTGGCTCAGCGGTTGAGCATCGACCCATGATCCAGGAGATCAGGGCTGGATCCCCAGCCAGGGGGCCTGCAGGAGGCAGCGGATGGATGACTCTCTCTCATCACTGATGTTTCTATACCTTTCTGCTTCCCTCTCCCTTCCTCTCCCAGAAATCAATAAAGATATATTAAAGAAAAAAAAAAAAAGGCCAAAGGATGGCAATTCCATTTCGTGCAGTTTTTAAAAAGATTTTTAAAATTTGTTTTTAAATTATATAGTTGACAATGTTTTCAAAACTTTTTCTAAGTGGGGCTGGGGTATTTAAAAATATTTATTCCTTTAAAATAATAATGATTTCAGAGTGCCACAGATAAACGATTTAGACGAAGATACCACTTAGGTGACGAGGGCACTTTTAAACAGCTCCCAGTTTTCCACGCTCGCTCGCGGCCTCCCTCCCGTGCCACGGCCCACGTGCTCTCCCCGGCCGGCGTCCTCCCGAGCCCCCGGCCGCTGCGGACCCCCATTCATCAAACACCTTTACGTCCGCGGTCAGCTGCGCTGCACAATCTCAGCAAAAGACCCGGCCGCCCTGCGGGCCTCGGCTCTCCCTGGGACCCGCGCCCCTCGCCCCAAACGATAACAGGGCGTACGCGGGGTCCGGCCGGG